TCCCATGGTATTATGTAACTGTTATTGTTGTTGTGCACTTTGTTAACCCTCATAACTTAGTGAGTAGGAAGTTGTGCTGACATCCCAAAGGTCAGCAGTTCAAATCCACCAGCTACTCTGAGAGAGAAAGATGGATACTCTGTTCTCTGAGATTCACAGGCTCTGAAAACCCACTAAAAAGTCAGCTATGAGTTGGTTCCAACTTGATGACAAGGAGAAACTGCTTAATTGTTGTTGTTGTTGTTAGGTGCCATTGAGTTGAGTATGACTCATAGCGACCTTATGAACAAAAGATCTGAACCCTGTTCTATCCTGCACCATCCTCACACTTCCTGACACACGAGAGCCCATTGCAGCAGTGACTATGTCAATCCACCTAGTTGATGGTCTTCCTTTCCTTCGCCGGCTCTCCACCCTTCCCAGCATCATGTCCTTCTCCAAGGAATAGCCCCTCCTAGCAACATGCCCAAAGTAGTACTGACATTAAATTAAAAACAAAACTTGTATATGTTAGGATACTTTAGGCTGCAAATAATATAGAGGTAGAGTGGGCTGGAGGGTCAACTTGGCCAACGACTAGGTTTCAAATTACTTTGAATATCCCTTGGATAGACTCCTTTTGTGTTGTGGCATCATCCTAGAAATACTTTCTTTATGGAACAAATTGACCATGATAGAATCCGCTATCACGTCTTCCTGCCAGGGAAGGATATATGGAAGACGAAAGAAGACTGTAGTCAGTGTAACTTCAAGGGGAGAGGAGAGAATTAAAGCAAAGTGAAGGTCAGACATCTCTACTTTCTCTCTCTTTGTTTTTAATAAATTCTGATGTGAGCCATCCCCCCATCACACTCTAAATGCTGGTTTCTTTAATTTGTTGCAAAAGCCACATAGAACACACAGATCATAGTCACAGTTATGGGGATTTATTAGTGTAAAACAATATGACAATATGACAGGTAGGGGCTAGTGATGCCTGATTCTACTAACTTCCCAAGGGGGACAATACCCATCCACAGAACAAAGCCAATTCCTATGAGATCAAACATGCCTTACACTCTCTTACTTTGTTGTATTAATTCATTACCCCTTCCTTATGGCTCTTGATAATTTACCAGTAAAAAAAAAAAAAAGCCCCTCATTGCTCTACTGCTAGATTTAGAATTCATTACATTAGTCACAGAACTCACAGGCAATATTCACAAGTATGAGGTGTATCAGGGAAGTAGCAGATAACAATTCAGGTCAGAATCACTCAGGATACTATTCTTCAGTGAGGACGGCCTCTTCTCAGGCATATTCCCAAGCAGGCCTCCCTCTTGACCCCTGGCTTCATGGCTTTGGACTGTGCCTCAGATACAAGTATATGTTACAAAGGTGTTTGGTTCTGTCAATTATACCATACCCCTACTCTGGCACTAAGCCTAAATCTGAAAGTGTTAGAGATAGCTCCATAGATTGGCAGGCTTCATTCAGCTCTGACTCACACTAGTCTCTTGTTCTACAGCATTCCTTCTTCCACTGCCACCATCATTGCTGCCATTTAGCCTACTGTGTTTCTCTCTCTCATCTATCTCTCTCATTTCTCTCATCTCTCTCTCTCTCTCTCTCTCTTATGGGAATCTCTAACCCAAAGAATACGCTGCCTATCCTTCTCTCTTAATGGTATCAGAACCTTTATTTTTCACCTCGAAGTCTGTTCCATTTTAACCTGGTAGGATGCTAAAACTGGCCATCCCTATGTTAGCAGTCTACATACCTTATTTGCATGTTTCCAGGCATTCAGGAAAAGTATGTGTCAAGATTTGTAGGATGAACAAATCATTCAAGAAGATGGACTGTATGAAGATTGTGACATTGGTGGGTTGGAGGAATACTCATTAACAAGTTGTGTTGTACAGATGGCACAACTTTGCTTACAGAAGGAAGAGGATTTTAAACATTTGTTGCAGAAGATCCAAGACTACAGCCTATGTAATCTTAAATCTATGTAGAAATGGTATGGATTACATCTCAATATCAAGAAAACAAAAATCTTCAATATTGAACCAAGGGGCAATATCATGCCTGATAGAGAAAAGACTGAAGTTATCAACAACTTCATTTTACTTAGACCCACAATCAACATCAGTTACAGCAGAGTCAAGAAATCAAAAGATGTTTTGCATTGGGAAAATTTACTGTCAAGAATCTCTCCAGAGTTCTACAAAGCAATATTGCCAGTTTAAAGATTAAGGTGTGACTGGTCAAAATGGCATATCCAATTGCTTTCCATGCATCTGAAAGTTGAACAATGAATAAGGATGACAGAAGAAGAATTGATAACTTGAAGTTGTGGTGTTAAAAAAGAGCATTGGATATTCCAATATGCCAGTAGGAAAAGCAAGTTTGTCTTGGAAGAATTGCAACCATATTACTCCTTGAGTCAAAGACTGTAAAACTTTGTCTCACATACTTTGGGCATGTTGTCAGGAGGGACCTGTCCTTGGAAAAATATATCATGCTGGGAAATATAGAGGTCCAGATAAAGAAAAGAAGACCCTTAACAAAAAGAATTGACACAGTGACTGTAACAATGGACTCAAGAACATTTGAGATTGTGAGGATGGCAGAGGACAGGGCAAGGTATGAATCTTTTGTTCAGGGAGTTGTTACGAGTCTTAGCTGGTAGACTTGATGGTTCCTAACAACAACTTTAAAAAAAAAGTGCTTCTTATCTATTTTTCTTATTTACATTAATAGCAAGCTATCCAATCTCCTTGGCACCACTACCTATTGACACATTGACTATACCAATAAGCTTAAAGATGTTGAAGATGGTGAGGATGGCACAGAATAGAACAGGGTTCAGATTTGTTGTTCATAGTGTAGCTATGAGCCTTAACTTGACTCAATGACCCCCAACAATAATGCTCGGCTGTATGGTGAGAATTACACTCACAGTGGCTAGAAAAATCATATTGAATAATTCATTACTGCACAACTGGGTAAATAGCAGCTTAAAATTTAGGATTAGGATCAATTTAGAGATAAAAAGACTATTTTAGGATACAGTTACCTGATTGGAACAATTTGTTTTTCTTTGTCCCAAAGGCAAATCTCTCTTTCAGTCTTCAGTCCTTGACACTCTTTCAATATTGTTTCTGCCTTGCTTAGGTAAGTGTTAGAAAAGTCTTCATTCTCAGAGGCACTCCAATCTACCCCATGCTACTGTTCTTTCTCTGTTCCTGGACTCTACCATCCATCCTTGCTGCTGCTTCTTATCCTCTTGGACTATTTCTAGTGTTACAGTTCTCTGTTGAGTCTAGTAGGTTCTCAGCAAAGGGACCCTTGTTCTCAAGAATACAGTCTGCTCTTGATTCTTCGTCTTGATGGTAGTGGCATTATCCACTCTAGCTTATGAAACTGTTGTCTAAATGACAAAACTAACCAATCCCCAGTAAGGGTTCCATGTATCTATTTACCTTAGAAAAATATCCAATCTTCTTGATAAACCACAAGCACCTTCTTTTCCCAGTCTTGTTAACTCATTTTGTGATATTCATAAGACTATGGCTATAATGTCCCTTATAAAGCAATCTGATATACTATACCCCAAAATTCCAGCAGAAAGACTTAAAAAGCATCCTGGGGGAAGAATAACAACAACAACAACAATAATAATAATAATAATAATAATAATAATAATAATAATAAAAAGCATCCTGTGGACTACATAAGAAATATAAATCTCCTCAACTAATCATCATGGCAGAAACCCACAATGTTATGATCAGATCTCTAGCAGAGGAATTGAGATTACCGTCAACTAATCAGTGGCAGAATTTTCTCATGTATTTGATGTTTCTGTATGACTTTATGACCAGAGGTAATTAGAAAACAGATAAAATTCTTGTTCCTACAAATCTGAGTCTTATGCTGTTATTAAATGTTGTCCAGTCTAACTGTAGCAACCTTATAAAGAACATGTTGAAATCTTACCATATCCTGAGCTGTCTTCAATCACTCTAACATGCTTATGTTGCTGTCACTATGTCAATCCATCTTGTCAAGGTTTCCTCCTTTGTAACTGTCTACTTTTCCCACCACCACTAATCTCTCAGTTTGTTATATTGGGGCTTAAATGCTTCTCTGATCTGGGGTGCTATGCCACAAGTATTCAAAATACTAGCAGAGTCTCTGATGGTAGACAGGTTTCAGCAGAGCTTCCAAACTAAGACAGACTAGGGAGTAGGATTGACCATCCACTGCTAAAATGGTCTCTTGAAAACCCTATGAATAAAACCTATGAAAAGCAGTATTAAGGGAGGTGTCAAAGCTGTCTGGGGGAAAAGGAGATTTATAAGGAGGGAAAAGAAAATGAATGGTGATCTGTAGGACAACAAGGAGCTCTAGTGGGCCTGTCCCTGGAGAGTTGCTCTGCTAACCCCAAAGCCGGGCCTCTCTTGCAATTCTCTTCAGGAGAAAAAGAAGCAATCTCCTCCCATGAACTACACAGCCTTGGAAACCCAGTGGAAGGTCAGCTATCAGTTGGTTCTGACTCAACTACAATGAGTTTTTTCAGAGTAAGGAAAGATACTTGTTAAATGATTCTAGACTCATTGCCCATTATTCCTCAATCAATCAATGTGTCAGGTGGTTGATTGTCTTGATGGCCTGGTCTGAGTCACATGGTCACACTGTGGTATACTTTTATGGTCCCATGGAGTAGAGAGGTGCAGTTCTTCAAAAGAATTGAGGTACTGTTACCACAAGAAAGAGGTACACAAACGAGCTATTTACTGTAGTGAAGTTTACCATTTATGAAGCAGGAATGACTGTTTCATAGCCCTCGAGTTAGTTTACAGGCTAAATAATATATGCATATCAAAGTACTATGTGTAGCATACACTATTTATTCATTTATTGTTTCCATTTAGATAAAATTGGGATTTACAGCTTGATTTTTATTTGTTTTCTAACGTCTGGTCTCTTTCTCAACAGGAACATCTCCAGAGAAAATGAACCCCATGCTGGGCCTGAGCTTACTTCTGGCTGGCCTCCTAGCTGTTATGGGTCTTCCACAATATAATCACTCTCCAAATATCCATGCATCTATGAGCCAGGCCCATGCAGGGAAGGGAAGACGGGCAGCCCAGGAGCTTGCCAAAAGGAACACAGACTTTGGCTTCAAGCTTTTCAAGACGTTAGCTTCCAGAAACCCTAGCAAGAACATCTTCTTCTCCCCCTTAAGCATCTCTATGGCCTTCTCCATGTTGTGCTTAGGTGCCCAGGACTCCACTCTGTCTGAGATCAAGCAAGGCTTCAACTTCAAGGAGCTTCCAGACAGGGATGTCCATGAGGGTTTCCACTACCTTATTCAGAGGCTGCAAAAGGGAAGCCAGGACATCAAGCTGGACCTGGGGAACATGCTGTTCTTAGATGAGAGGCTGCAGCCCCAGGAGAAGTTTCTGACAGATGTCGAGAAGGTGTATAATGCAGAAACCATTCCTACTGACTTCCATAACTTAGAAGTTACTCAGAAGGAGATCAATGACTATGTTAGTCAGAAAACCCATGGGAAAATTAACAACTTGGTCCAGAATATAGACTCTGGCACTGTGATGCTTCTTATAAATTATCTTTTCTTTCAAGGTAAGGCTTAGAGCGTGTTGGTATGGAGGAATCATGATAGACATAGTTTATTTTTTAAAAATATTTTTATTGGTTTTCATAGAATAGTTTATTTACATTATGTTTCATTCATATACAATGTGTTTTACACAATCTTTCATTTACATTGTGTTTCATACAATCATTCATATACATCCTATTTTACATTATTTTGTAATTGATTTGCTTACAACATTTACATACATTTTGTTTCACTCGGTTCTTCAGTCACATTGTGTTTCATACAATGATCTCACACATTCTGTTTTATAGAATCAATCACAATTGAACTTAGCCCATCATTACCCTGTCTTTCCCCTGGATCCTTCCCATTTGCTTTCTCTCCTCCCTTCACCCACCAAACTATGCAGCTCTGTGGTTTCTTCACAGCTATCCTCACCCCTTTGATCTTTCCTCCCTCCTTGAGCTCCTGTGCATTCTTATCCTTCTATTTTTACAATAATGATCTTATGCAGTATTTGTCCTTAGGAGACTGAGTTAGTTCACTCAGCATAATGCTCTCCAATCTCTCCTAAGTTATGTAGTATTTTTCAAAATCGTTGCTCCTGAGTGCTGTGTAGTATCCCATTGTGTGAAAGTACCACAATTTCTCAATCCATTAGGTTGTGGTTGGACATTTGGGCTGTTTCCATGTTTTTGAGATGGTGAATAATGCTGCTATGAACATTAGTGTACAAATCTCTGAGTCTCAGTTCTAATTTCCTTGGGGCATATTTCTAGTAGTGGAATAGCTGGGTAATATGGACTTTCTATATTCAACTTTTTGAGGAAATGCCAAACTGTCTTCCAGAGCTGTTGCACCATTTTACAATCCCACCACCAGTGTCGCATCCTTTCCAACATTTATCACTTGCTGCCCTACTAAACTTTGCCACTGCCACTGTCTTGAGAGGTTATCTCATAACTGGGTTTGTTTGTTTGTTTATTTGTTTTTTGTATCTCTCTTATTGCCAGTGAGCATTTCTTCATGTGTCTATTGGCCCCCTGAATGTCTTTCTTTGTGAAAAATCTTTCCATGGTGGGCATAGTTTAAAAGATAGTTGGTCATTTGCTTGCTCTTTGACCTTACCTCATATGTAATTAATCTCTCTGAATCTCACTTTCTTATCTAAGAGTATCATGATAGATAATTCATAGGGATATTATTGAGATTAACTATATGAAATGAGCTTAGTGAAATTTCAGTTACTCTCTACGTGTTTACTTGTGTTTATCCTAATATAACATTGGTTCTGATCCCCATTTAGTAGATGAGAAAAGTAATATTCAGAGAGAGATTCCCTGATTACTCAGAATTGCACAATCAATACTTGAGGGTAAAGTCTAAACCTATTTCTTTTCTCTTGAAGGCTGTGTACCTTTCAGCACTCCAAAGAAACCTCTAGCTAGGATGCTGAAGTTATGATACTGATTGTGGTAATGACCAGTGTGGTGGGAAACTTGGTCTACTATCAGACTTGGTGGATTTCCAAATTCTGAATTTGAGAGATTAAAAATTAAAATGGGAACGTGTTCTAGAATTCCGGTTTCATCCTCTAGCATCATACACAGCAACACATAAATGTAGGTGCAGATTAGAGTCCAATATCCTTCAGGCCAGACTTCTGAGCTGTCAGCAACATCAACGTGAATTTGAGCTTTCAGAAAAAAGCTCAAAACCTCCAAATGCGGAGAGACACAAAAGCTAAATGGAGTAAAAAAGGAATAATGATTGCAAGTTGGCATTTTAGTCTACTCAAACAAAGAAAAGAGACTCTGAAATTTTCTGAATTTCATTCATCCTCTGGTGCACAACAGGGGTTGTTGTTATGTGCCATCGAGTCATTTGCGACTCATAGCGACCCTATGTACAAGAGCTCTATACACTCTTCTATCCTGTGCCAACCTAGTCATCTCAAATGCACTTATTCCCACCACTCCAGTCACAGAATCGATCCATCTCATTGAAGGTCTTCCTCTCCTTCGCCGCCCCTCCACTCTGCCAAACATGATGTCCCTCTCCAAGGACCAGTCCCTCCTTGCAACATGCCCAAAATATGTCAGACGAAGTTTCAGAATCCTTGACTCCAAAGAGCCCTCGGCTTCACCCTCTCCAGGACAAACCTGTTTGTTCTCCTAGCAGTCCATGGTATATTCAACACTCTTCTCCAGCACCACAGCTCAAAGGCATCAATTCTCTTTCTATCAACCCTATTCACTGTCCAGCTCTCTGATGCATAGCACATAATTGCAAAGACTATAGCCCGGATCAGGCGCACCTTAGTCTCCAGTCTGACGTCGTCGTTCTTCAGTACTCTTGAGAGGCCCCTCACAGCTGACTTTCCCAGTGCAATTCGTCTCTTGATTTCCTGGCTGCTGTTACCAAGAGTGCTGATTGTGGAGCCAAGTAAACTAAAACTGTTAACTATCTCAATCTCTTCACCATCCATACTGATGCTGCCAATTGGCCCAGTGGTGAGAATCTTTGTTTTCTTGATGTTGAGCTTCAGTCCATATAGGAGGCTGCAGTCCTTGATCTTCTGCAGCAAGCGCTCAGGTCCTCCTCAGTTTCATCAAGCAGGGTTGTGTCATCTGCATAAAGCAGGTTGTTGATGATTCTTCCACCAATCCTGATGCCACATTCCTCTTCGTATAGCCCAGCGTCTCAGATGATCTGTTCTGCATACAGATTGAAAAGGTATGGAGACAGAATACATCGCTGATGGACCCCCTTCTTGATTTTGAACCATGTAGTGTCTCCTTGCTCTGTTCCGACAACTGCCTTTTGGTCCAAGTATCGGTTTCGCATTAGCACAATCAAATGTTCTGGGATGCCCATTCTTCTCAGAGTCAGCCATAGCTTGTTGTGATCCACACAGTCAAAAGCCTTTGCATAGTCAATGAAGCACAGATAGACATTCTTTGTTTTGTTTTTTTTTTTTTTGGTGGTGGTGTTTTTTTTCAGATATGCTTTCTTCTGGTATTCTTTGCTCTCTGCCAAGATCCATCTAACATTAGCTACAGTGACAATGACAATGACGATGGTGATGACCAGCATCTGCTGAGTACTTTCTATACACAGTCACTAAGCTATGCTGCCTTATTCCACTTAGTTCCACGCAGCCCAACGAGGCACCTAGCAGCATTTCCACTCTACAGATGAGGACACTAGGATCAGGGAGATTGAAAGCTTCTTCCATGATCATGCATGTAAATCATCCCATACTGTGTATAGAGCATGAGAGTGAAAATTAAGTTCTCTCTTCTTTCTTCTTGTTTCTCAGGGAAACCACAGAATTCTGTCTTCTTCTTTGCTCTCACTCACTGGAGTTGGGGGTTTGAGTGAGACGCCCTCTACAACAGGCATAGAATATTTTTATGTCATTCTTTTGGCTATACTAACTTGAGTCTGAGGGTCTTTTTTTGCCCCCTATTTATTATCATAAACATTATATGAGGACTGCACCAATAGCAATGTTGTTGTGTGTGTTTTTTTTTAAGCTGAATAAATGTTTTCCAGACATAATCCTTTTCGGTCCCTTTAATTTTTTTCTTGGTTTTATATGAAAATATAGTTCAACTGCTTAAAAAAATTTTTTTTTTAAGTCAAGGGTAATCTGTGCAAATGTCACCATGTTTAATAGCTTTGGTTTGTTGTTTTCTTCTCTTATTTGTTCTCTGTCTCTTCCACCAAACTTTACTGATCACATCCTTTGTCACCACAGTTTTGTTTACTTGGCCACTATTTAGATAAAATTCAATTTATCCTTGTACCTGTTCTTTATCCTATATTTTGTGATGTTTAATAATGATTTTGTAAATACTTAGTCAAATCAACTGTTAGTTTTAGAATTCACTTTTTTAACAGCTCTTCTTTTCTACTAAGCTTTTCTTTTTACAGATCCATTTTTATGGGTTTTAATGTTACCAACAAGATGTCATCTTTTATTGTATAGTTTTACTTGGTATTGATTATGTCTCATAAGCAAACAACTCTTGAGCCTTTTCAGTCTCTCATAAGAATGCCTCTTTCCAAAGGAGGATGGATTAAACTAGAGGAGAACATATTTACTCAAGGAAGACCCAAACAGCTCCTAATGAGTGTAGTTCAGTTCCCTCTGCCAGGACATGATTCCAGGGCTTTTCCAGCCTCCAGTGCACTTGATCATAGGGAGTTTGGCTTCCCTGGGAACAGAAAACTAGGTCTCAACACTCCTTGACCAAGAGTCTTTGGACTGTGGCAGGGGGTGGGACTCCTGGAGATTGCCCTGATAGACCCTGGAGCTAATAAACCCAGAGACTATTCGTTTCTTGTTCATTCACCTCTTCGCCTTCTAACACTTACTGTCCTCAATTCTAAGTCAGGTGGCTACATGAGTTTGATCCAAAATTAACCCAGGAGGAAGACTTTATGCTGGACGATAACAAGTATGTGAAAGTGCCCATGATGTTCCGCGGGGGCCTGTACAAGGTTGGTCATGATGACAAGCTCTCCTGCACGATTCTGGAAATGCCCTACCATGGAAACATGACTGCTGTCTTCATCCTTCCAGACGAGGATAATCTGCTTAATGTGGAGGAAGCCTTGATGGCCAATGTGATGGACAGATGGAAAAAAATAATCTCAAAGAGGTAAAGAAAGAGGAAGCTATTTCCTCCTTTCCCCTTCCCTCCCACTCTCTTTCCTTTCTCCACCATCACATTATTGAACAGTAAGTCTATGGCTAGGTTCTAATCTGGACTCTATGATAAATTTATATTGAGGTAGGGAGTAGACAGGTCATCAAATAATAGGAATATAATGAGATGTTAGCTTTTATAGGGAGCTATGTAAAAAGAAAACAGGCACTGTGAATAGAGTGAAAACCTTGGATGTAGGGTGGTGGCAGGGAGGGAAGCATAGAAGAGGCAGCATTTGATTAAAACCTTCTATCTGCATTAAAGGAGTAGGAACTATGGAATCTTAAGCACAGGGAAGCCCCAAAGACAAACACTTGGGAAGTCACAGGGAATTGTGGGTTGTTCACTGTAGATAGGAAAATATTTGCAAGTGGGCTACCTAGGAAGGGAATCTGGTGACCTAGTGGCAAGAAGCTGCACTGTGATCCTGAAGGAATGCCGTTCAAATCCACCAGCTGCTCTGAGGAAGAGGATAGAAAAACTCTTCCCATGCAATTAACTGCCTCTGAAAACAGGCTGGATGGTCAGCTATGGGTTGGTTCTAATTCTATGGTACACAACAACAACAACAACAACAACAACAACAACAACAACAACAAGCTACCTAGGAATAATAATGAAATTGAACTTCCTCCTTTATACAGGAGCAGATGCTAAGTGGCAGAACAAATCTCTGCTATCCAGAGTTAGTTGAAAACTCATAGAAAAGACATTCTTGTTCTGAATGCTTCAGCTAAAGTTACAAATGGTGAAGAGCAAAATCCAGCAGGCTAAATGGCATAATACCCCAATGGGAGCTTTAACAACTTCAGCTCTGGAAGGACTTTAAGAAGTTCTCATGTTCGCATATGAAAACCTGGAGCTTTGAGAGAGTGTGGTCCCTGAAAGGGGAAGAGGAGACTGGATTTGAGCCTTAGCTGAGAATTTCTTATCTATTATATAACATCTCATGGATCTAGATTAAAAGAGGCCTGGAATGCCTGAGCAACGCTTATGGTTAAGGTGTTCCGCTTCTAACTGAAAGGTTGGACCTTTGACTCCACCCATAGGCACCATGAAAGAGCACCCTGACGATCTATTTAAAAAATAAATAAATAAAATCGGCCATTGAAAACCATCTGGGACATTGTTCTGTTATGATCCTCATGGTGTCATCAACTTGAGAGCAACCAGTATTTCTAAAAATATGCCTCATCTCTTTCTCTCTAAGGTAGCTCTAGCGTCTGAGTCTGTTGAGAATTACACTGCTAATTTAAAGGCATCTGGTTCCTATTCACCAGCAGCTTGCACAGAGGAAAGACGGGCAAATCTCTTTCAAAATGCAGTTTGTAGCCTCCATAACTTGCTGGAGGGTCAGCCACGAGTCGACGCTCATAGCTCAATAGCAAGAAGCTTTTACCTCAAGGTCCCCCCAACTGACTGAAGAGTTAGAGGTGCAGACTGCACTGCAGAGTTGAAGCTCAGCTTTATGGAACGGGATTTGGCAAAAATCTGAGTTTCTCATTCTTAAAGTGTGACCCAAGCTAACAGCTCCTCCACCAATATTGAGGCTACTGTCCTCTTAACATGAAAGCGTTCCAGCAGCGGCTGACCGTGTTCTACTGGATGTAGACACTCTAAGAGATGTCTTGGGAGTGTCCTTCAACAGTGGGTGAAATTTAAGGGTAAAAAGAAGATGGAAGATGGGAGGACCCCTAGGCCTTCCATCTCCACTTTATCCAATAGTTCCATCTTCAATAGTCCTCGGCGTCATAGATCACATTTATTTTAGTGTTTAAATAATGGAAACTGAGACTCTTTCAAAGGATTGCTAGAATGTACCATGTTAAGCATGCCCGTTCTCCAACTCATCTGGTACCTCTCCAGGGATGTACTAAGGTGATGGTTCTAGGTCCCTACATTCTGCCCACCTACCCTCCTCTCCGTAACCTGTTTCTAAGATCTTCATAAGGTTATCACTAACTGTGCCCTGATATTTGTGGAAAGTGGTGGCCACCTTTTGTTCTCTCTTTGCTTTCCTCAAGTGAGGAGAGAGCCTCTGTGATTTCCATCTGGCCAACTGTCAGGCATCACAGGAGGCTTGGAGTAGACAATCCAGGAGCTTGTGGGCAACTCACAGTGGGTAGGCATGGCTTCTCATGGACACCAGGAGCATGCATCTCTCAGGAGCTCTTAAAGTTTTGGGGTTTTTTGTTGTGTTTTTTTTTTAAATTTGTAAACCACACTTCTGCTTCCTCAATGGAACCAACACTCCACCATGCTAAGATTCTCCCTGTAAAAATAGAGTTTCCTTAAGGCCAAGAGATTCTTAGAGAGGAGACATGCTCTCATCCCAGGCACAGTCCTGCTTCCCTAGTTGTTTTTCCAGGATGTCCACTCAGCTTATGAAAAGTTTATGTCCTTTCAAAGGGGAGTAAACTTATCTTTGTTTCCCATGAAGGAAATGGTCATCAGAACATTATCAGTCAATGTCCCTACATTCTCAGCATCTTTTGTCTGGGAATCAAGTTTCTTTTTACCTGAAGGCGGGGAGCTTAATCCCAACCTCTTGTGCTTATGATTAATGGCAGAGAGTGATGCACGCAGAAATGTCCTGTGCTCTTTTTCTTTGTCTCTAATTTTGGGAAGACCTAGAAGATGATATTTTTTTTTCTTGCCAAGAGATGTAACCAAGTCAATAGACCCACACCTAAAAGACACACCTGATGTGTAATATTGGTATGCAGGTTCCTGATGAACTCAGCATGGCTTTTACACCAAAGGAAGATGCTTGCTTTTTAATTTCATAATTAGACGTGTGCTCCAATTTTCTCAAGAGAAGAACACAAAATGCTGGTGTAGAAGGAAGGTCTCAAAATGCTGGTGGTTTTGAAAAATCCATTTTCCTGTTAAAATCTTTGGAAGATCCAACCCAACTTGAGGACAAAGCAGCCTGACTGGAATGAGTTGAGGTGACAATGGGAGGAAGAGAAAACACATTTTCAAGGAGTTTTACGATAAAAGGGAGAAAAGAAATGGGTTGGAAGCTGGAGAAGTTTTTGTTCCTTAATATGGGAGTTGTTACAGCATGGACTCTCAAGAATGGTCAAGTTGGCACCATTCATGGGTGATGCAGGAGAAAGGTGTGAAGAGATGAGGTCTAGGAATCGATGGACGGGGATTATGCAGGGGCACCTGACACCAGGCTCTGGGCCAGGAGGCTGGGCCAGGTTGCACCCACAGAGCACAAAGGGCTGCTATTTCAAGGGCAACAAGAGGGACATTTGCTGGTCTCTGATAGTCCATATTGCATACTTTCGCTTTAGGACCCTGATTGCACTAGAAGTGCAATGCTCATCGTAAGCATTGGAAGGAGCTTGGAGAGGTAAAAGGTTTTGCCCTGAGACAGAGCTCATGAAAGGCAGAAGAGATTGCAAATCTGTTCTTCATAGCTACCAGCCCCCTGCTGTGGTCAGCATTGGCTCGGGGCCTGGGAGTGGCGGAGGGCACAATGCAACAATCTTCACTGGCCGCAGGCAAAGGGACCCTGAGATGGTGAAAACTTGACAGTGTTCCCTATGAATTAGGGCTCGGAGCCAAGCTGGGTAGGAAGCAGGTGCATAACTCCAGGTTCACAGGAGATCCTAAAACCAGGTTTCCAGGAATAAGGAAGCTTTTGGCTTTCTATGGAGAGAGGTCTGAAGCTCTGGTATTGGAAGCACTAATGATTGTGTATGATTGATCACTGTCTTTGGGGACCAGATCACTCACCTTTAACACTTTCAACTCCTCAGTGTTGTAGATGTGTACATGCCCAGATTCTCCATCACTGGCACCTACAACTTGAAGAAGGTACTCTCCCACATGGGAATCACGAAAATCTTCGAGGAGCATGGTGAGCTCACCGGGATCTCCCCTCACCGCAGCCTGAAGGTGGGAGAGGTAAGTGCCCCAGGAAGAGAACGGGCCTTCCCACAGCCCAGGAGGAGTCTGGTGTCACCATGTGGTATAAACAGGACCCACCAGTGAGGCCGGACTCAGACCCCAATTTGGCCCCTTACCAGTGAGTGATCAATGCAGATCACAGGGCTTCCCCAAACCTCGTGCTTCCAACTTTTAAAATTGGAAACGTCAGTCTCCTGGGGCCTCCTTGAAAGTCAAGTCAATGCAGCACACATTTAAAATCCCTTCCTATAGGCAAGGGAAGCTGGTGTCATAGTACATAAAGTGTCAGGCTGCTAACTGAAAGGCTAGCAGTTTGAATCCACCAAGTACTTGGAGAGAGAAAGATGAGCAGTCTCCTCTTGTAAAACTTTACAATCTTGAAAACCTGTGAGGGTCTCTATTAGTTAGAACCGACTTGGCAGTAGGGAATTTGCTCTGGTTTATAGGCCAACAAGGAGTCCTGGTGATGCAGTGATTAAAAGGCTGCTAACAAGACATACCAGATGCTCTGTGAGAGAGATAAGACAGTCTGTGTCCAAAATGATCCCAGCTTTGGAAACCCTATGGGGTACAGTTCTACTCTGTTCTGTAAGGTCCCTAGGAGTGGAAATTGACCTGATGGCAATGAATTTGGAGGGGTTTTCTCAGTTGTAGATCCATAACAACACAGGCCTGAAGCTGGCCTAGATCTGCCCCAGACTCTCTCTCTCTCAAAGACCTTACAGGCTAGTTAGAAGTAAAGGTGCTCAGTATGAAGGCGACCTACAAGCAGAAAGTCGAGAAGAGCAAGCCTTTGCCTGTTTGGGGCAAACAGAGAAGACTAGATTTAACAGATAAAATACACGGTGCTCACTTAGATTTTCATTTCACATCAACAATTACTAACTGTTTAAAGTATTACATGGAATATGCATTGCAGGGGACATGAAAGTTATACAAGAGTTTGTCTTTTGTTCATAGGGTCACTACAAGTCATCTACAAATCGACACTTGACAACAAACAATGACAACAATCTGACATTCAGATTTAAGTTATTAGGTGCTATCAAGTACAACTCATAAAGATCCTATGGACAAAAGATCTGAACCCTGTTCTATCCTGCACCATCCTCTCACTTCCTGACACACAAGAGCCCTTTGCAGCAGTCACCGTGTCAGTTTACCTGGTTGAGGGTCTTCCTCTCCTTCACTGACCCACCACTCTTCCCAGTATCATGTCCCTCTCCAAGCAATAGCCCCTCCTAGCAACATGCCCAAAGTATGTGAGTCAAAGCCTCACCATTTCTGCCTCCAAAGAGTGATCCAGCCACACCCTCTCTAAGACATAGCTATTTATTCGCTTGCCATCCATGGGATGTTCAGTGCTCTTCTCCAACATCACAGCTCAAAGACATAAATTCTTCTTCTGTCATCCTTACTCGTCACGCAGATTTAAGTAGACTTCCTACATTTATCCACAAACTCTACATTTGGGTTAATAGGGCATTGAACTGTTTTCTGAAGAAGAGGGAGACAACACAACTGGTGAGAAAAGGGTCTAAGGGGGAATTGACAGGTAGTCGGAAGAGCGTGGGGGGACGAGGGAATCCAGGTGAACCTCCAGATCAGGTGAGGGGGCTGAGGGGGAGACCTAGACAATCTAGGAAGGGCTAGGCTGTAGAGCTGGACATGCTGCCCTGAACCAGGAGGTGCTGGAAAGCCACCAAAGGTGTTTGAGCGGGAGAGTGTCAGGAGAGTGAGTGCCTCACACGTGTGTGACACGCATGACTAGTGAGTGAATGAGTGAAAATGCGAGCCTCGGTGACAGTAGGTCTGGGATGTTTTCCAACACAAATGTGGCCTGTTCATCCTTACACCACCTAATGTTGTTGTTGTTGTTGTTGGGTGCCACTAAGTTGGAGCTGACTCAGAGCTGACCCGCCGGCGCTGAATCACACAAGACAAGATTGTCATTCTCTTGTGGAGCAAATTGTAGATGTGAACCACGTGCCTTTGAGATTGCAACACAGCTTCTTACCACTAGGCCATCCTAGCTCCCGAGAGTTCACCTGGTACTCGGCACTTGCTATGAGCTAGACGCATGGAGATACACAAATGGCCCTTCCCTCTGTCTGGGAGCAGACAGACAGCTGATTCTCTGCACTGTGGTCAGAGCAGCAGTAGAGGCCGCCTACCCCACCCCGCAGGACAGACACTGAGCTGAGATGTAAAGATCCAATGAGCCGGTCCGCGGATGGAGATTACCATCCACACGGCATTGTGTAAGCTCAGTTTAGTTCATTTTCACTGTCACCTCTTGTTGGCTGAGGAGAGAGCCCCAGGGAGACAGGTGATCTGCCCGGGGTCACACAGGCATATGAGTGGTAAATACAGGATTCAGGCTCAGCATGGCCACCTGTACTCCCTCCCCCGGGTGCTAGGGGGTGACAGGATGGTCAGCGCTGACTCTCAGGCCCTGGAGTGGCCGGCCCTGCCTCATAAGGGTTTCGGCAGAGGCCTATCCATTTCTCAGTCTGTCAACACTACACTGATGTTGATGCTATTGAGGTGCACCTGGGATCATGAGTCATTTCCAGCAGCTCACCGGGAATCTGGCTGCCTCTCAACCACCTACCTGCTGGGTGATCGGTACATAGAGGGCGTTGGAGGTCCCAAGGTGGAGATGCCACCACTTTCCTTCCATCGAGCTCAATGTCAGTAGCCTCTTCCTGCCATGAATTAGGGCAAATACTTCTCTGAAATTCATGGGGAGAGTAGCAACCCTAACCCCATTAATCTGAGTCCCCAATCTGTGTATCTATATTATCTTTCCCACTATGGTGCATATGCCTATTGAAAACCCTTCAACAATCACCATGGAAAAGCCAAAAGTAAGAGGGTAGGAGTGGGTGGCACCAGCTTAGTGAGCACTGTGTGGGCCATGCTAGTTAGAGCCTTCCTCTCCACGGCCTAGACGTTCTGGCTCTAGACCAGCTGTGCTCCCTGGTGACCTTGGCCACCATTGACACTCCCTAACTGGCTCTCTCAGGCATTCCACAAGGCCAAGCTGAAGATTGACGAGAAGGGGACAGAAGGTGCAGCCGCCTCCGGAGCCCAGACACTGCCCATGGAGACACCACTGGAGGTCAAGTTCAACAAGACCTTTCTGATGATGATCGATGATGACCTCACAGCTTCCACGTTGTTCCTGGGAAAGATCGCCAATCCTGGTGGGAAATAAGAGAACATTCTGGCTTCCTGCAGATCCCAACCAGAGCTGAGAACATCCACTTCCCTGAGACTGAAGACATGGGAACAGTCTCTCCCACCCCATATCATCACCATCTCCCCAAGGCGAAGTCCACACCAAAGGCTCTCTGCTCCCCACTTGTTTCTGCCCTGTTGCATGCTGGGATTGCTTTCTCCACCACATCTATAAAGCAGCTGGAGGGGTTCTGTGGCCCAAATAAATGCATCTAGGATTGCTAGTTCTTGTGCATAATTTGGCGTTTGGGGGCAAAGAGGGTTAAGTGAAAATCGGAGGAATATTTTGGGGAATGTTGCAGCCATTCTCTGAACCTCTGCTTTCCTATTTCATGACCAGGGTGACCATGACACCCACTGCTGGGCTGTGAGTCACCTTCCATGTTGTTGTTGTTGTTGTTGTTGTTGTTGTTGTTGTTGTTAGGTGTCGTCAAGTCAACGATGACTCACGGTGCCCCTATGAACGACACATCTGCATCTGGCCCTACACAGCATTGTCTTTTGATCTCTGTCCCACTCAAGGCCATGGTCACTGTGTCACTCCATCTTGTTGAGGGTCTTCTCTTTCACTGACCCTCCACCTTTCCCAGGTGATGTCTCTCTCTAAGGACTGCTTCCTCCTGAAAACATGCCCCAAGTAAGTGAGATGAAATTTCACCCACCTCGCCTCTAAAGAACGTTCTTGCTGGATTTCATACAAGCCGGCTTCGTTTGTTCTTTTGGCAATCCACGGGGTATTCAGTCTACTTCACATAGCACGGTGCCTTAGAAAAAGCGAGCTCCCCTCAGTGAGCCCTTGGCGAGCCCTTGATGAGCCCTTGGCTTTGGCTTTTGGCTCGTGAATTATACATGAGGTCCCTGTCCGCTTTGAAATGTCCAGGTAGAAACTGTGGGATCAGCCAGGCACTCTGGTAAGGAAACTCTGACTCCACTCCCTGGGCGGCATCAAAAGGATGAAGACTGGTGTAGCAGCTGAGATTCAAGGCCAAGTTAGTCTGACCTCAGAGCCCTTATTTAAGGCACAGAAAGGATCTGGGACACACCACTCATGCTACCAAAGGCAGGCCTGCCATTAAAAGCTGTCAACAAGCCCCAGAAAACACAACCCTGCAGCATCTGACTGTGACCACGAGAGGGCACCATGTGCTCACAAGGGCTGCTTGGAATTTCCACCTGGGGAGTTAATTTAGGGACCTGGTCCTTTGCCTCTTACAGCGAATTCCCAATGATGGGTGTGTTGGGGAAGAGGGGCCCTTGACTGTCCTGGGGATGATAAGAAGTCTGAGAGGTGCCCACTCTCACTCCCCTCGATGTTCAACAAGACTTGGCACAGAGAACATAGAGGTGAAATGACTCCCTCACGGTTCCCCTCAAGGTGGCCAGAGGCAGAACAGCTGTATTTTCTGGTTTGTGGTTGGGAGGAACTGGTTTCCACACTAAACTGGGGGCGGGCTCCTCATTCCTCAGCTATTCCCTGAGGTGAGACAGCTGGGAGTCCTTTTGAAGAATGCCCACCCCTTCGGGTGTGTGTCCTCAGTAGGTGTCCCCTGTAATCCTGTCCCCTTACGGGCTGGGCCTTGGGAACCCAGCCTGGGAACACTTGCAGGCTGGAGAAGTCAGGCTGGGAAGGAGCAGTGGTTTCTGCTACGGTAAGTGCTGGGATCTGTGGAGAAGATTGCACAACAAGGGCCTAAAGGAGAGGGTGGGGAGGCCTGAAAGCCCACAGAGAGTCCCGGGGGGCTTGAGAGGGCCTTTGGAATCCAAAAAGTCTCAGAACTCTGATCAGAGCCACGGCCGAGGCTGCAGTTGTTCTGTAGTCGTCTGCTGATGCAACCCTGGGTCATGAGGTGGACAGGTCGGCCACTTAGTAGCTGGGCACCTGCGTGTCACCTTACCCCATGGAGCCTTCATCTCTTTATGCTTTTAAAGGGTGAGCATTTGATCCCTAGAACTGCTGTAAAACAGCAAAGATTTTCACAGCTCTGGAGGCTATATGGTTGGAATTATGATGTCTACGGGGCCGGCTCTCCCTGAAAGCTCTGGAAGTTTCTCTTCTCACCTCTTGCGAGTGTCTGGTGGTCTTCTGTAATCCGTGGTGTTCCTTGATATGTAGCTGCATGGCCTCAATCTCTGTTTCTGTCTTTACATGGCCTTCTCACCTTTCTGTCTGAGTTGTCCTCTTTTTACAATGATAGTGGTCATTGAATTAGGGTCCAAACCAACCCAGAATGACCTCATCTTTACTGGTTACATTTGCAGAGACTTGTTTCCTAATAAGATGACACTCACAGGTCATGATGGTTGAGAAGTTTCCAAGTCTTTTAAGGGGGCACTGTTCTACCTACCACAGAGGGCACTAATATCTACTTTATGGAATGAAGATTACATGAGCTCGTGTAGAAACCACACTGTCACACAGTGGGCATTTTACAGCCTGCCAGCCAGCTATTGATACGGTCTTCCACCACCCTTGCTGGAGTCTCCAAGTTATTTTCTTCATAGCTGGACTCAATATTTTCACCTATGCTGTCCCCTCTGATTGGAATAGCACCCTCTCACCTGAAGAACTCCTGTTCACCCTTTGATGTCCAGTCCTACCTGACCTCCTTATGAAATTGGTTCTGCCTTTCCAAATCTTCTAAGCAGCACTCCAATGAACATGAGTCTGAATTTCCTCTCTAACTCCATGCGGGCTGTGATCAAGTGAACAAGAGTTTAAGAAAATCAACCCTGGCGAGCTCTGGTGGCCTAGTGGTAGGAAACTGCACTGCAATCCCAGAGGTGCACGGTTCAAATCCACCAGGTGCTCTGCTGAAGAAGGAGGAACATACTTGCATGTAGTTGGTGAATTCAAACTACATGTCTGGGTTTGCAGTACCTCCTGTACCAGTCAGATCCAATTTGACGGTACACACATAAAAAGAATACATACATACATACATACATACATACATACATACTAAAAAAAAAAAAAGAAAGAGAATCAACCTCATGTTGATTGATGATAAAAACAGACCTGGCCCCTACCTGTTAATGAAGTTACTATCTAGTGGAGGAAATATTTACATGTCAAGTAGTCATATGTCCTAATGTGTGCACTCAAGCTGCAAGAAGATACGATGAAGGAAGGTGATGAGGGCTTAGAGGATCTGTTCCAGTTTGAGGATGCCAGGAAGGCTTCCCCAAAGACTTGGCATTTGAGTGGACCTTGAATGCTGGCTAGCATACTTGTCTTTGAATTAGGAGCTCTGGTAAGAACCTGCACTGCACTGCAAACCCAGACATGTAGTTTGAATTCACCAACTACATGCAAGTGTGTTTTCCCCAATGTTGTTAATAATTTATGAAATGCCAAGGGGTCTTTTGAGCATAATTGAGCACAAACTCTAGGGCTTTAATTATCTCCCATCAACTGACTGTATTCTAAACAAAACGATGACTGTATACTTAAAATATATTTGTACATGATTTTCTGCTTTCACAGTCCTATTTTAATTCTTTGCTATAGAAATAAAGTCCATTTTGTAAACAAAACATAAAAGAAGGGGAGAGGTTGGGGAAGGAGCAGAAGGATGATCTATCAAGCAGAGGGAACCACATGGGCAAAGGCTCTGTGGTGGGTCGGTAGCGTGTACAAAAAACTGAAATGAGATCAGTGTTTTCAGGACAACAGAATGAGGCAGGGATGGCAGGCAGTGAGGCTGCAGACGTGTGTGGCATCTCATGCTATTTATTCCTTAACCAAGGAGCCAGAGTGAGCAAGGTCAAGTTGGACAGTGATTCAAGCAAACTCCTATGGCATAGGTGTCCCTCAAGCTGCAGCCCAGATGTCCACACAGCCTTGTATCCACACAGAGCCCACTCAGTGTGTGCTTGCTGAAAAGGAAGATCACCATGGCAGTCCCTTGTCACAGACATGCTCAGCCCCACCGCAGCTCACCTCTCTCTTGAGACGGAAGACCATACATTTCAACCTGGCTGTGTCTTTCCATCCTTCTCCTCAGGAAGACCTCAGGACATACCCACCACACTCCTTTATGCCCTTGCTACAGTCACCCCACCTGACAGGATTCTCTCCTTGTTCCCTATTCTCTTTCTCCCACCCCTGCCACCCACCACTTTATTTCAGAGTATTACTCATCCTTCCAGAAAAGGTCAAACATTTCCCAGGCTAAGTTCACAGACTAGTGAAGAAATGAATGGATTTGACGTGGATGTAACACTTGACTTCTATCATGAGAAAAGCTTTGCACAACTTACTCAAACAGATCAAGGTAGTGGCCTCCTTCTTACTCACCCACAAACACTTCAAGTTATTGTCTTCCTTCTACTTTACCAATGAGATAACAAACTCAAGATGAACACCTAACTTTCCCAGGGTCCTGTAGTGAGAACTTCACAAACACAAGACTAGGCACAAATCTCCCAACAATTTTTGGTTATTGTTGATCCACCTGTCCTTCTGTCCACCCACCCATCCACATGGCCATCTAACCAATATTTACTGAGTGCCCACTCTGCACCTGGAGGGACTGTCTAGGAGCTTGAGATACATCAGAAGATGGGATATACCAAGAACTTCCTGGTAATTTCAGGCTAGTAGAGAAGGGTGAAAAAAAAAACCACAACAGTGTAATAAATAAATGAGAACATTAAATAGATCAGGAAAGGGTGATTACAAGTGCCAGGGGTGCCCGTGGAGGCATCAGGGGATATAGACTTCCTGAAGGTGGTCAACAGAGTTTGTGATTCCACTGCTCATGGAGTCTGTTGCACTCCAAGTCTTATGGTCCATGGATATCCACACTTTTGTGCACTGGATTAATTTTGTTGTTATGTGCCATTGAAACACCTGTGACTCACAGGGACCCTTTGTACAACAGCCCTAAACCCTGCTCTATCCTGTGCCAATCTCACCTTCTCTGACACACGTATCCCCATGACCCCAGTGACTGAATCAATCCATCTCTTCCAGGG